AAATATTCCAGGAAATATATTAAACTGGTTTTTGCCTAATTTATTGAGCCTAACTGTTTTAAGTGAGACAGTACATGTTCAAAGACAGCGTCTGCAAAAACAGCAGATTTCTTACAAAATCCAGTTAGGTTTTCAAATTAAAAACAACCAGGAGCATTTCACACTACTGTACTAAATGCAACTAAAGGCTCAAAGCATACCTTGCAAAGGGACTGTGTCAATGTCACACTTGTAATCATTTAAGCTTGGTTCAGGCAACAAGCCATAGGTTGGGTACTGTCTTCCCTCTTGCACACACATTTCCCACATCAGTCTTAACCATAATTTAGAGTAATGACTACTCAGACCTTAGCTATGGTTAACATTAACAGGTGTTCATTATTAACTAGGGTAAACTGCAAATCCTAGTTTTAGCATTAACCATGGTGGAGCCTGGTGCCAAGGTAAGCTTAACAATGAGCAAATTCAGCATAGCAGGGTGGTAAGAATGTGTTATCTTGGGTCTTGTGGCAGATCCTTTAACCATGGTTAAGCGATCACAAGCATTACATTGGCACCAGCCCAGTCTAGTTTGTCAGCAATAATTCAGTGCAAATACACAGGAAGAATTCCCTCCAAAAGAAAGAGCTTTTCAAAGACATTTCCCCCACATATAACAATGACTGCTGAATGGAAGGCTAATGAGGCGGGGGATCACACACTTTGCTAAACTGTGTAACCAATTGCAAGATACACTAGGAATAATGCATGGGTTTGTTCTTTTCATTCATCTGTCACCATAAGTTAAACTGATGATGATAAATAAGCCTCTGAAGACTTCCTTGTGAAAGTTAAACATCCTCCTTAAAACAGTAAACAAGTTGGAGTTGCTCATGCCAAATTACATAGAGGAAAAAGTGTGAGAGAAGAAGCACGTGTGTCAAAACACTGTCTCAGATTTAAAATATGGTATATGACTTCTATTGGGACAGGAAAGCAAGTTGTTTGCATCACTGCCTAGGTTTAAACAGCACTAACAAATGAGGTAGATAAGAAAATAAAACTTACGTTTAAAGGGAAAAACAACTCAGCTGGAATATAACTGAAATATTCACCCAGTTATTAAAATGATACATTCCATTCATATTGTACAAGCTCAGTCTCAAGCATCACAGCAGAAAAGTGCCTTTAAAAACACCCCCCCCCCAAACCAAATTCACAGTTGATTCCTTGTTGTCAGAATTCACATTTAAAAGAAAAATAGAATGCAAGCAGCAGGGAGGGAAAGAAAATTGGGCAGTAAATGTTTCACATGAAACAGAATACAAAACCAATCATAAATATGTCACATTTTTCTTCTTTTGTCAAACATACTAGACAGTGCCCCTCTTGGCTTTCTAGACTCTTGTCATTTTGACATTTTCAACTTCAAAGATGGAACAGTTAAGTTCTCTCACCCTACCAGGAACGTTGAGAGTAATGTGAGAGATACATTGCAGCCCATGTTCAAAGTTTCTGTCTGTCACTGTCATCTATGGTCAAAGAGGATTTTGTAGTGCCTCAAACCACTGCAAAACTTGTTTAACCAGAGACTATCACAAGACAGAACAAATTAGCATGTACACCATAGGCAGCAATGGTTCTAACCACAGAAGGCAGGAACTAGATGCTACAAAGGATGTTAATAAAACCAGCATCCCATGTTTCTTCCTTTTTTCTACATACAGTCTAGTAATACAAAATGTGTGACACAGTGTCATTACGCTCTCCACTTGTGCAAGTGGAGAAACTCAAAACATGATGATTGTCATACCACATGTTCTGCATTACTAGAGGTTATGGGGAAGAAGGAGGGGTGGAAAAGTAGGGCTGCATTTTTGGCAGCAGCCACTTATCCATGGCTAGTCCTGGCCTAACCTGAACTTTGCTGATAGTGATACAAGTGCTATAGAAGGGGTAAAGATGTTTGTAAAGTATTACCACTGCTCTTGTCAGAAGACATGCAGATAAACCATGTAAGGATTTCTAAAAGGGAGTCCCTATTGCCAATTGTAAAACAACAGCTCTTCAACCAAAGTGGAATGGAACAAATGGCTTCATGAACAAGTTGCAGAACACAGACATGAAGTAAGCTTTATACAATGGTTCTCTCTTTCTGTGTGTGTGCCTCTCTCTCATGCACACACACTTGTGCACACACACACACACACACTCAGCATAGTAACTACAGGAACCAAGTTTTTGTTTTCTAACATTATGGTTTAGAAAATGCACATTCCCATTGTTTGTACACAAGGCTTATAGAAAAGCTCTGTTCCAAACTGGGGTGAGGAAAGTGTCCCAGTTACAACCAAAGGGACTGCTTTTCATGAACAATGATGCTATTTAAGCTCTTAATTTCAAGACTTAGTTCTTGCAGAATCCTAGCCTGGAAGAAAGAAGGCTACATAGACCTTACTGTGACAGTCTGGAGAGAATTCTTCTACCCCTGCTCAATGTTAAATTTAAATTCAAATTCAAACTTAAATTTAAATTCAATTTTACATTTCTCTGGCAGCATAAAAGGTATATAAAAGAAGAGTCTCAGGCTTCACTTTTCAAGAACAATAAGGGCTTCAATTACTATGCTACTTGTGCATTAGAGTAAGGTGACCTAGATGGGGCTATCTTTGCCATATTCTACTCTGTCACCATTTGAAGGGTTTTTTTGTTTTCTGTTTTACAATAAATGAACTAAAATCAAGTCTCATGTTTGTGACATACTGATATATACAAAATTAAAAAACAAACAAACTGGCAGATTTTGTGATTCACAACTGAGAGGCAAATTATGTGTCAGAATGTGGACCATACACATTTCTCATAAAAGTGTGGGGGCTGAAGTAGAAACTCAGTATGGCCAGACAGAAGTGGGATGCTGAAATATACATCCCAAAACTGCTTTACTCTCATTGCTACTAGAAACTAGAAAACATACCTGTTTTAAAGGAGATGAGAAAAGAACATTTTTAAAAATAAAGGATGTTTTTATGTTAAAAAAGACGTAACACTGTTCTTCAAATTGAAACTTTCTGCCAAAGTATATATCCACTGCTGCTGATCATTATGCGATGTACAGCAGTGCACTGTTCAAACATCATCAAACTTCAAAAGTCTACAACTATTTTTTCCTGCCTTTCCAGTAAAAATCTGAAAAGATGCTAAAGGTATCTATCACAAGGCACTGCAAATCTTTGCAGGCAGAACAAGGAGGCTGCATTATACATGGGAAACAGGGTCTTATCCTGGGCAGAGAAAGAAGGAAAGACAACAACAAAACACCCAGGTGTTTTAGGAGGTACTTAAGCTTTGGATGCCATTTTAAGAGGCTAGATTCAAGCAAGTAGTTCAACTCTGTGACTACTTTAAATGAGGAGAAAAAATATATATATATAGGTCTGACAGCCCAATCCACAACAGCATTAAGCCAAAGTACTTTGATTTAGGATAATTTATTCCATTGTTTTAAATGGGACTTAGCTGGTTGAAGATCAAATACTTTGCCTTAACTACACTGTAGTGAGATACAGCTTCCCTCTTCCTCTTGTTCAAAATATTTGTCAGCAAAGCCAAGCCAATTTCAACCTTCAACAACAATGCAATTCTTTTACAACACTCCAAGATGAAACCTGAACTCTGTGGATTCAACTTAAAGCAGAGCTTTGCAATTCTCAATCTAGATATATGAAGGAGGAAGCAAGTCCAGGTATGTACCGTTAAATATTTTAAAGACTCCTGGATGCAAAGGAAGCAACCCAGTGGTACACAAAAGAGTAAAACTTTTCAACAAGAAAAAAACTGTTAAGACTCTATATAAATGAAGTTCAGAACAAAAGATTATTAACCCCAGTAAATTAAGACTTCCCTGCCATATTATTTGGCCCAAGTAAGCCAATGTGCTACTATCAAACCCAGCTAATCTCTTATCAGAAAAATACTGTAAGAGCAGCTGAAATACATTTATACAATGAGGGGGCTGATCATCTCACTTAGGATCCTCTATCTTTCACTGTAAGGCAGTCCACTATAAATGCAGTGACCCTGTTTCCACGCATAATTTTCAGTCTACAAAAAATGTGTTAAGTATGGATCACAAATGAGGTGCAAATGGGCAAGATGGGTCAAGTTATAAAAAGCTCCCTTGGCAATTTTTCCATTGCTACCCCCCACCCCACCATGATATAAGATTTGTGTCTGTTGCAAAACAAGCTTAAAGAAAAAAGTCAACATAACATTCAGGCCAACAACCCAGTTTCATCTACTGAGTGTATGTATGAGGATCTAGCTGCCATTATATATAAACAGCTGTTCTCAATTGTCCAGGAACAATTTACAGGTCTGGCAAATGAAACAATTGGTGGCAATTTCTTTATCTCTTCCTTCAGTAGTCCTTCACCCATCAAAAGGTCTATCTCTTGAGGCAGGGAAGGGAAGAGTTTAAGACAGCATTCAGTGATGGCTAGCCAAACTACAGAATCATTGTTACCCCTAGCTAGCTAGGAATCTGAGCTGTCAATGAAATCAGATGGATATATAACATTAAAGAGGATCCAAGGTGTGACTCAACTGCTGCTCCCCCACCCTTCAAGTAAATTAACTCAAAATGCCAGTATGTGTAACCATTTAAGAAGAGCTACTATCAGTCTCAAAAACAGTAGCAACAGAAGCAAACAAGGGACACAGGCCAAGAATGACAAGGAAGTCTCATTAAGAATTAGCACAGGGGCATGCTTGTCCACCTCAGGAACAATGAGATGCACAGGCCAAGGCTCTCTGAAGTACTTAAAAAACATTCCCCCCAAAGAAGATTTAATCAAGTATTCAAAGAGGAGAATGCAAAGACAGTCTCCCACCACTCCCGCCATGTTGTTGCACTGGGGAATTCACCCCACCAAATCCAGGCCGCAGAATGCAAGGCAGAGGAATGGAATCATGAGTTATAGGCACAGTCCCCATATCTATCATCCTTTAGCCATCCACCTTCATTTAGGACCTGGGGGGATAGGAGCTGGGTTTTGCACAGGTGACGCTGGAAACGCTGGCATGCTTATCCCTGGCTGAAATGGTCCCACAGACTGAGCAGGGACGACAACAGACTGCTGGGCCGTCCCTGAAATGCCCATCCATTGCACTGGATAAGCTGTCCCCGTCATGGTGTTGTACTGGCATATGTGGGGTACTCCATATGGCGTCAGTGGGCCAGAAAAGGGTGACAGGGGAAGTCCTTGGGGCAAAGCAGCTGGTACAGTCCCCCGGATCTGGGAAAGTGAGGAAATCCACGTGGATGTGTAGCCCACTGTAGAGGTTGGTGTCTTTAAGAACAAGAGAAAATAGAAACTATTTAAAAGGAGAGAAATCCTCAGTCAGCATTTGTTTGTTGCATGCTCCAGTAGATCCTCCTGTGCAGCAAGAAAGAGGTTAAATGTTCAAACACAACAGTAGATGATGGGACCCCAACAATTTGGGACCCATGGGAACACATGGAACTTTGTTTCTTAAAGAAGTTATTTAAGCACTGTGACTATCAGGGGCACTACCATTAAATGGTTGAGGACTTCCAAAGATAAAAGAGATGGTAGGGATTAATGGAGCAGGCTCGTGAGAGGGAAAAGGATGACTGAAAGGAAGAACTCAGGATAACCACTCAGCAAAACAAAAAAGGCAGGTTGCTTACCTGTAACTGTCATTCTTTGACTGGTTATGTGTACATTCACACATATGGGCTTTGCACCTGCACAAAGCCTACTGTCTGGAAGCTTCTATAGTTTTCATTTGGGTGGGAGTCCCTCTCTTTCCTTTCCTAGGAAGCATGGGGAGAGACTCCCACCCATCCCCTCATTTCTATGGAAACCACCATTGATTTCTGGACTCCAGGGAGGAGGACACCAACCTGATATGGCCCTGAGGTGTCCCTAGAGAGTAAGAACAAACATTGAAAGGATAACAAGTGGAACCAGAGTTCCGTAAGACCCTTCAGGAAGTGGGTCTGCAGAAAGTGCTAGATCTCTTCAATGGTGGCCCACCATGGGTCAAGACCTTCCTGATGTATGAAGGCTGTGAAGGCATCCCACTTTGCCAAGCAAGGCCTTCCTGAGGATGGCTTAAATGTTGTGACTAGTTTGGACAACACCTTGGGAAGTAGGGGAACTCTCCCCTGCTCTAGAGGGCAATCCTCCAAGTCATGAAGTGCAAATTCCCAACAGCTGGGTGAAGAACTCAGCCCTGGTCCTGTGTGATTAGATCCTGGGTATGTGGGAGGCAGGTGGAGTTTCCCTGGAAGAGTTGAAGGAGCCAGGTGAACCATGGTTTCCTTGGTCACCATCGGGTATTCCACTCCCTCCTTCCAGATCTTGGTGGTCAGCCTGGTGATTAAGGGAAATGGCAGAAAAATGTAGAACAGGGTCCCACTCCATCTGAGTAGAAAAGTATATCCCAGGGAGCCGGTTCCCTGTCCTGCCTGAGAGCAGAGCCGGGGGGTGGGGGGTGGGGGGGATGTCATGTTGAGGCTAAAACATGTCATGAGGCAAGGTCCTTCTCCTGAGTAAATGTACTGCTTCAGACTTCCTGTCCGCAGTGCTTTGTTGTTAGTTGCGAAGCTGATATTTCTCCCAGTGATCTTAATACCAACTGGTGATTCATCTACCCCTGCCTTTCTCATGATGTGCTCTACATATAAGCTAAATAGGCAGGGCGACAGTATACAGTCTTGTCGAACTCCTTTCTCAATTTTGAACCAATCAGTGGTTCCGTGTCGTTCTCACTGTTGCTTCTTGACCCACATTTGGATTCTCAAGAGACAAATAAGATGGTCTGGTACTCCCATCTCTTTAAGAACTTGCCACAATTTGTTGTGATCAACACAATCAAAGGCTTTGGCATAGTCAATGAAGCAGGAGATGTTCTTCTGGTACTCCATAGCTTTCTCCATGATCCAGCGTATGTGGGCAATTTGACCTCTAGTTCCTCTCCCTCTTTGAAATCCTGCCTGTACTTCTGGTAGTTCTCAGTTCGCATACTGCTGGAGCCGAGCTTGTAGGATTTTGAGCATCACTTTGCTAGCATGTGAAATGAGTGCAATGGTGTGGTAGTCTGAACGTTCTTTGGCATTGCCCTTCTTTGGGATTGGAATGTAAACCGACCTTTTCCAATCCTGTGGCCGCAATAACTGAAATTCATCCATTAATTTTGGACCAGACGGCGACATTGGTATCTCCCCAGAAGCCTCTGAATCACTAGTAGAGTCTAGCTCGTGACGAATCTGAGTGATTTTCTCCCTGAAATGCTTGGCAAAGTCGTCACAGCGGGCCTTCGAGGGTGGAACCAGATCTTTCTTAGGGCCAGGACGGACCAGCTCTTGTACCACCCGAAAAAGCTCTGCCGGACAGCATTTTGAGGAGGCAATGGAAACAGAGAAGACTTTCTTTTTCGCCGCCCTCACTGCCACAGCATAGGCCTGATAATGGACTCTTAAGTGTGTTCGGTCAGATTCATCCCGTGATCTCCTCCACCTACGCTCTAGCCGTCTCCTGGCCTGCTTCATCGCCCGCAATTCATATGTATACCAAGGGGAAGAGTGGGCTCTGCCTGGCTGGAGAGGATGCTTAGGAGCGATCGTGTCATCTCCCCATTCCATAGTTCGACCAGAGCCTCGACAGGAGCACCAGTCTTGTGAGCCGGAAACTCCCCCAGGGCCTTCAGGAATCCGTCCGGATCCATCTGGCTCCGGGGGCGGACCCACACAATCGGGTCCGCACCCTTGCAGAGGGAGAGGCCGCTCTTGAGCACAAACCTCACGAGGAAGTGATCTGACCATGACAGGGGTATCAGACATAAATTCCTCAACCTCAGACCACCCTCTTCCTGCCCTGTCGAGAAAACCAGGTCCAGAGTGTGTCCACGTTCATGGGTCGGGTCTGTGACATGTTGAGACAGCCCCATGGCCGTCATGGAGGCCATGAAGACCTGAGCCGCCCCGGACAGACCAGTCTCGGCATGGAGATTGAAGTCCCCTAGGACCAACATCCTGGGGGTCCTCAACACCAGGTCCGAGACGATCTCCGTCAGCTCAGGCAGGGAGTCTGTTGGGCAGAAGGGTGCACGGTACACCAACAGAATCCCCAATCTGTCTCGGTCGCCCAACACCAAGTAGAGGCACTCCAGCCCTGGTCTCGAAGGGACTGGAAGTCCCGTGAGGGAGAAGGAGGTTCAGTAAACCAAAGCGTCCCCCCTCCCCTCCAGGCGTGGATGGTGCTGAACCAGATACCTGGGCGGGCACATTTGAGAGAAAGCGACATCCCCCCCTCCCGTCCAGGTCTCTGTTATGCAAACCAGGTCAGCCCCCTCCTCCACGATCAAGTCATGGATGAGGAAAGATTTATTATGGACCGACCTGGCATTAAGCAGCAGCACCATCAGGCCCGAGGGGCGGTTGACAAGACTACCTGGAACCCTCTGGCTGGGGGTAGAACCAGAAGGAGGGACAGGTGTCAGCCATCTGTCTCTCCTTCTTCTACATGGACACGTTAAGCCCCCACCGCTGTATCGTCTATTGCCCGTGACCACACCAATGGCGGCGCCCATGCGCTCCCCAGGAAACTCAACCGAAACTCAATTTTGCAACAAGAAGCTCACGATTTGAGCCATAGTCAGCTCCTGGTGTAGTTTTTACTGAATGTATAGAGCTTCTCCATCTTTGGCTGCAGAGCACGTACTCAGTCTGATTCTGTGTTGACCATCTGGTGAAAGGTCCATGTGTGGACTCGTCTCTTGGGTTGTTGGAAAAGAGTGTGTGCTATGGCCAGCATGTTCCCTTGCCAAAATTCTGCCAGCCTGTGCCCTGCTTCATTTTGTACTCCAAGGCCAAACTTGCCTGTTATTCCAGTTATCTTTTGGCTTCCTACTTTAGCATTCCAATCTCCCTCAATGATATGGACATCATTTTTTGGTATTATTTCTAGAAGGTGTAGTAGGCCTTCATAGAACTGGTCAACTTCAGCCTCTTCAGCACCAGTGGTTGGGGCACAGACTTGGACTACTGTGATGTTGAATGGTTTGCCTTGGATTTGAACTGAGATCATTCTGTCATTTTGGGGATTGTATCCCTGTACTGCTTTTCCTACTCTTTTATTGACTACGAAGGCTACTCCATTTCTTCTGAGGGATTCTTGCCCGCAGTAGTATACCTGATGGTCATCTGAATTAAATTCACCCATTCCTATCCATTTTAGTTCACTGATTCCTAAGATGTCGATGTTCAGTCTTGTCATCTCTTGTTTGACCACATCCAGCTTGCCTTGATTCATGGATCTTACATTCCAGGTTCCTATGGAGTATAGATCTTTACAGCATCGAACTCTCCTTTCACCACCAGATACATCAGCAACTGAGTGTCCTTTTGGATTTGACCCAGTCGTTTCATTCTTTCTGGCACTGCTATTAGCCCTCTGCTCTTCCCCCATAGCATATTGGACACTTTCTGACCTGAGGGGCTCATCTTCTGGCATCATATCGTTTTGCCTTTTGGTACTGTCCATGGGGTTTTGGAGTGGGTTGCCACTTCCTTCTGCAGTGGATCACCTTTGTCAGAGCTCTCTACTATGACCTGTTCATCTTGGGTGCCCCTGTACAGCATAGCTCATAGCTTCATTGAGCTAGACAAGCCTCTTCACCACAACAAGGCAGTGATCCATGAAGGGGGCTTTATTGTTGCATGTCCTTATTGTCAAACAACTCCAAGCTCACCCTGAGTAAAGTGTTGAACCCTCTCTGAGCCCTCCCCTTAATCTATGTCCCATTTAAGAGACTTGCTGGCTCAGAGGCAGGGCACTGACATTCCTCGCCTGTCTCCACCTCTCCTGTAATTCCAACCACTGAATCTTCCATCTGTGTTGGCCCTTAGCAACCAGCAACACCACCTCAGGGGGAGGGGTCTCTACATCTGACAGATTATTCAGCTCTTAGACAGATTATTCAGCTCTGCATGCCCTGTGCAGACCCTGAACCCACCCACCTTTCTCTCATTGGCAGATCAGGGATCTCACCATCTTCAACCCCCAATTCTCCTTCTGGGCTATCTCTCCATTCCCATGGAATGGCTGGTCACCAGCTACACACAACTGGGGCAACGATGCTTGAGCTGCAGACATTCCTTGACCTAGATTTGATACTATCACTTGCTGATATTCCAAAACTGCTTTGTCTTCACTGTCTGAACTCCAATTCCCATCAAATCTATCAATAGACCATGGCCCTTCTCACTGCTTTTCCCTGTGTTTATGCAAAACATCAGCAAAGAGATCTGCTGATAGCATCCATGTGCTGTGGAGGTTGCAGAGGACCATCTTGTTCAGCTGCCACTCATATGAGTCAAGAGTTACACAGCTGAGAATGTTTGCCAAAATGTTTTTGCCCACCATGTGCACTGCCATGACCGTGATGTCTCTGATGATGCATCAGTCCCATATCTCTATGGCTAGCCTTGTGAGTGTGATGGACCACGTACCTACCTCATTCAGACAGAACATCATGGTTGTATTGTCTGTGGCAATCTGGACATGTTGACCATGCAAGGTGGTTTAGAATGAGATCAATGCCTTGTGGACAACCAGCATCTCCAGAAAGTTGATGTGTTGACTGGCTTCTCTGTAGTCCCAGGACCCCTAGGTTTGCAAGGGACTGCATTGTGCTCCCCAGCCTGTCTCGGATGCATCTGTAATGATGATCATCAGCTCATGGGGGAGGAAACTAATCCCTGCTGTGAGGTTGCATGGGATGGTCCACCACAGTAGGCTGTTCTAAATGGAAAGTGTAATGTCCAGAAAGGTGCTGTGGAGGTTGTCCTCAGCATGGTAGGTGTGAATGAACCACAGCTGTAGAACTCTCAGCTGTCTTTCAGTTGCAGTCTAGGGAAGCAGCCCACCACCACCATGGCTGCCATGAGGCCGAGGAGTTTCTGTATCTCATGAGCTGCAGCAGACTCTCTTGTGCTAAGGTCAGTTGCTAGGTTGCATATCACTGCTGCTCTGGTTTCTGGGAGGAGCACCTTTGCTGAGAGTGAGTTGAGGTGAATCCCTATGAAGAGTATAGATTGGAAGGGGGATGGAACATAATTTTTTTGAATTTAAACACAGTCCCAGGGTTTGCAGTAAAGAGCAGGTGGTGCGGACCAAGTGTTGTAACAGTGTCTTAGATAGGGCCACCAGAAGCCAGTAATCAAGGTATGGAAAGACCTGCACTCCCTGAGCTGGAGATGTGCGTAGACCACTGCCATGCCATTTGCGAAGACCCTGGGGGCAGCTGAGAGACTGAAAAAGAGAATGGAGAATTGGAAATTCTCCTCCCTGGTTTGGAAGCAAAGGAAATGTCTGTAATCATGGTCTATGATGACATGGAAATAGGCATCTTCAAGGTTGATGGAGGTGAGGGAAGGCTGCCTTGCAGGGTGACCATTCTGAATTTTCTAGATGAGATGAACCAGTTGATACCTTTGAGGTTTAAGAGTGGTTTGAATCCCCTGTCCTGCTTTGGTACTGTGAAATATAAAGAATAAAACTCCATACCAAAGTTGGAGTGGATTCTCTTTATAGCTTCCACAGAAAGTAACACATCACTCTCCAATAGAAATGACAGGCAGAAGGATGTAGAACTCAATCCTGCAGCCTATTTCCATGATGGACAAGACTCACAAGTCTGCTGTTCCCATGAAGGAATCAAGTGAAGCACCCGTCAAAGTGTGGGGAGGAGTGGTGATAGGAGTCACTGGTAGTGCTGGCACTTGGTCCCTTCTGGGCACTTTTGTGCTGCCTGAAGTGAGCAGAGCGGTCATACAGCTTTTGTTGAGGGGCTGGCTGGAGCCTATGAGGGCATCACTGTATGGGCACCTCTGTTTTGGGAAGAAAGAGGATCCAAACTCGTTATGTGGTATAGAAGCTAACTGCAGGAAGCCCATCTGCCTGACAGTTGACCTTGCTTTCTGGATGCAGTCCATCCCTTCATCAGTTTGTGCACTGAAGAGACCTTCCCCATCAAAGGGGAGAGCCTCAATGTGGGAGCGCATCTCCTGGGGCAGGCCAGCTGAGTGAAGCCAGGCATGTCTGTGGATGGCCACTGAGCCCATCATGGCCTTGGCACCTGGCTGCTACAATTTGGTATCTGGCCAGCTAGGAGGCATTGGTCTGCAGAAGGCAGAATGCATCCCTGAATTAATCTGGGAGGTATTCACACATGACACCAATTTTGTCCCATAAACATAGCTGATACTGAGCCATGTTGGCATCATAGTTCAAGACCATGTACAGGGACAAGGCCATGTAAATGCATTTTGCCAAGCCACCCGGTCAGCATTCCTCACAGTCAGCTCATGTGGTCTTTGCACTGGTGGCACTCAACAGCAATGCCTCGGCACCTGCTATCTTGGTACCTGGGTCCTTGGGTACCTGGGGTTTGTGGTTGCCTTCATTGGAGGAAAGGGATTCATCTCCAGAGTGGAAGGACACTGGGGTCAATTGGAGGCCCAACTGATAAGGGGAGAGCGGTACTGGTCTCAATGGCAGCAGTGTTGACATTCCAAGTGCTTCCAAGTGCAGCGTTGAGGCTGGTGTGTGATGGGACACTCTGGTGCCAAGCCACTCTCTGACACCAGTGTTGTCAGCCTCCTGGGAGTGTATGGGAAGCAATGCAGAGTCAAGTCAAGCAGCATCAGTGTTGACTCCCAGGAGTGCAATCTTCTGGGTGAGGAGGTCAAGTGTGATTGGTGGCCGGAACCTCTAGTTCCCCTCCCAGCATTGCAGTAGGTGCCTCCCTCAGCTCTGGGGATTGGAGGTGGTCAGCAGTCAATGGGGACCCAACAGTGAGGGTCACTGGTCAACTGGGGCTCATGTGGTGCCTTTTCTTTGATTTGGGTGCATCAGTGGCAACTATCTTTTTGAAGCATTTTGTGGCCTTCCTGAGTGTGTAGTCATCTGGAAAATGGTCCCACTGTGGTTGCCATGGTTTGGCCAGAGGGGTCTCTCACCACTGAAGTGGAAGGATGGTACCATCCCTTCCTGGGAGCACCTGCAACTTGCAGGGTCTTCTTCCAAAGTTCGACTTTGAGCTGATCAGCCCAGTGTTTCCAGGTCTGCTTCGTGAAGGACTGGCAGTGCCCACACGCCTCCACAATGTGTCCCTCACCCAGACACAGGAGGCAAAGGGAATGACCATTGGATGGAGGGAACCTGCTGTCACAGGCAGTACAGCTTCTAAAAGCTGCCAAAGATACCATTGTGGGAGATGGGAAAGGTGGAAAGAGGAAGAAATTGAGAAGGGTATGAGGAACTCAGGAGAGGACATGAGGAGTGATGGATAGAAATGTGGGTACGAAATTTTTTTTGTAAATTTTTTTTAAGCAAAGAGTGTTTAAAATGGGTTCACTGAGGAGGGAGGAACAGAGAAGTTTTTCTACACAGAAGAGGGGAAAAAACAAGAAGGAAGAACACACTAATGCCTAAGTGAAGAGAGCAAAGCAATTCCCAATCTAGCTGCAATGCCTATTGAAAAGGAACTCAGAGGACAGGCAGGATTCTCTCCCCATGCTCCCTGGAAATAGGAAGGGAAGGGGCTCCTACCCAAATGAACACCTAGGTATAAGAAGCTTCCCCAGTAATAGGCTTAGCACAGCGGCAAAGGCCATGTTTTATTTTAATTTTTTTTATAAGATTTATATCCCATGCTTTTCGTATGAACTCAGAGTGGCTTACATCATTCACCTCCTCCTGCTCTCAGGTTTTTCCCCACAACAACCATGTGAAATAGGTTGCTGAGTGCCTGTGACTGGCCCAAAGCCACCCAGTTGGATCCATGGTCAAGCAGGGGTTAGAACCCTGGTTGCCTGAGTCCCAGTCTCACACTCTTAACCACTGCATCACACTGGCTCTTATATGTGTGATGCATAGAGACCACAGAGAAGAACAAAGATCTCTCAGCATACAGACTAGTTGTCTACTATATCACAAATCCACTTCTTCCACAGAAATCTCTGCACTCACCTCATATACCTTGCTCCAGCTATCAGTGTCTAGCCGGTGCTTGTTCTGCTTGATCTGGTTGAGGCTTGGCTTGATAAGAGAGTTTCCCACCTTTTCTTTTGTCCAATCATCCACCAGTTTATGCAAGTCATCAGTGAACATCCCTTTCTTACTGGCTGTAGTCTGCTGACAAGAGGCAGTGCTGCTAACAATGCAGAGCTGGTCTAGAAAGGAGGAATGTATTAAAATACATGAAACAGAAAGCTGCTTCAAAACACTGAAATGGTGCATGTTATTGAGGCATCTTTTCACTTAAAGTGCAGTAACCAAAGGCTTGTGGTATGGTATATGTTAAAAAGTCCGAATTTCTGTGGCAAGGAAAGTCACATTTGTACTCTCAATAAGCAGTGCAACTCTAGCATATTTGCATATATACACCTAAATTTAAGTCGCCACTAAATTTAGATTTATTTACTAGATGGCAAATTCTTCTACTATCCATTTCTGCTCCAACAGAACACCCCATTGCATGGAAGGCAAATGAGTGGATCTAAAAGGGCCTTAATTTGTTTAAGAACCTAAGTATTAGGCAGAGGAAGGTCTAAGCCCCAAACACAAAACCACTTGTTTAAACCCACATTATTCTGGCAAGGTGATCGATTTCCTTAAATTGACTATAAATATATCCTTCTCAAGGTCTTGCACTTGGGGCATAGGAATAGGTGTCATAAGTACAGGTTAGGTGACAAGTGCCTGGAGAGCAGCACTTGTGAAAGGGACTTTGGGGTACTGGTTGACTGCAGGCTAAACATGAGTCAGCAGTGTGATGCGGTGGTCAAGAGGGCGAACGCCACCCTTGGTTGCATAGCCAGAAGTGTGGCTTCTAGATCGAGAGAAGTATTACTACCACTCTATATGACTTTGGTGCACCCGCAACTGGAGTATTGTGTTGTTTCGGGCCCCTCATTTACAGGAAGGATATAGCCAGGTAGGGCCACAAGGTTGGTGGCCGGTTTGCAGGGGATGGGGTATGAAGCGAGACTGAGGGAACTGGGTCTCTTCAGCCTGGAGGAGAGGAGACTCAGAGGGGATATGTTGGCGACATACAGGTATGTGAGGGGATGTCACACAGAGGTGGGTAGAGACCTGTTCTCCCCTGCAGAGGAGTGCCAATGGAGTAAAGCTCAGGGAACCAAGGTTCCATTTAGATGCCAGGAAGCACTTCCTAACAGTTAAGACCCCAAGGGTATGGAATGGGCTTCCATGGGAGGATGTTGAGGCCCCATCAGTGAGGGTGTTCAAAGATAGGCTAGACATGCCCATGGTGGGCATGTCATGAGCAGAGCTGGCTGGAGCCGGGGGTCAGACTAGATGGCCCGGGAGGTCCCTTCTGACTCGCTCTGTTTCTATGTTTCTAAATTTATGCCCCAAAATTGTATTTCTCAGATTAAGAGGATCATTCCTGAAATTAATGTTCCCCCAATTCATTGCTCTCAATCTACTGATTCACCTGCTACTAACTCAATGAACTCCTCTTCTGCTAGCCTTTCTACCAGCCCAAGATATTTTGCTGCCTGTAGCACAGCATGAAATGGCATCATCTGTATTTTCTGGGATTGCCACCCAAATACCCTCTTGCATACCAAACTTGCCCTTTCTCTGTCAGAATGCACACACATGCACACATACACTCTTCCTCTTTCACATGCATATACACACTCACTCAGATTCAGGCCCCCTCCAAATCTTCTCTCTCCCTCATCAACTCTCTACCTCCACCCACTTACATTCCCCATTCATCCATGCTTCACACACCACCTTCCCCATCCGTCTTGCTCTGTTACCTCCCAGTCCACTCTTAAAGCTTACCAAGCAGCAGCAAAATTCCTCTCCCTACAGTATTTTTTTTCTGTAATTTTTCCTAGGTGACAGGGCACACTGCAAGTGCAACATGAAAACCAGCCTCCAACCCTCTTCTACCTTAATTTCCTAAGAATGTCTCTGAACCTACAGAAAAAATAATTTTAAATAATAGTAATGCATAAAAGGAAGTGTCCACTAAGTATTGTATATTGAACCATCAACACAGAATGAAATGTGCAAATACCTTGGCTTGTCTCTTCTTGGGAACAGCTCTGATGCAGCAAATGGGCCTGAATGCTCAACTGATAGTCTATCACTGAAGCAGCAGTGGTAGCACAACAGCATTCTGTGAGGGAAAGGCACACAATTAGAGGCAACCATATGATAGGGTGGGGGCTGGAATGGTAACAAATAAGTTCAGTCAAGATTTGTATTTTCAAATACATCTGTGGAACATGGCCACATAACTGGCACCCATCCTCAAGACATTTTTGAAAAGTTCAGCTCACTTAGGGCTGAGGAGTGTGGAGATTCATAAAGAAGAGCAATACTGGGCAAGTTCTCTGGGCTTTTGGTGTATCAAGTGTGGCAAGCTGACAAGAATTGACACTTTTGCTCAAGATAGAATTACCAGGGCATACCAGGTAGAAAGAAATGCTTGTTCCAAGAAAAGTAACTAGCTCATCCATGCATTAGTGAACGTGTTCAGATGAATTCCCATAGTGGCCTCAATGCTGCCAACTATCTTCAGTTTTTGCTTCCTTACCAGCAGCAACAATGCCATTATCGACGTGTGTGAGAGACTGGGGCCTGCTACGCAGCTTGCTTTTGAAAGACTTGGGCCGACGTGGAGATGACAGTTGCAGGGAGACATCAGATGATTCTGATCGGCAAACTTTGATGGAGCGGAGTCGTTCATATAACTCCTGCAACTCTCTGTTCTGTTGAGCCTGAAGGTTCACTACCTCCTGAATGTGTCTACACAGAAGAGAACAGCACTTTAGCAAGGAGCAAGCCTTGATTTGGACTTAACACACCAGAAGCTGCTTTATGTCTGCAAAGACCAAGTGATGAGCAAGAACCTTGATGACAACCATTGCCCCCTCCACTCTAGGCTTGCTTAGTTTCTCCATACTGTGAGGGAACTAGCTGCACAAGTGCAATGACTATAATATTGTAATGACTGTGGTCAATTGGAAGTGATGGGAGGCGGAGAAAAAGTACTTTCAGGGGAGGGAAGTGCCAAAGGTTAACCTACATTGTGCTTGTTTGTGCACAGGAACATCTTCCTAATTCCTAGCATGGGACTGAACTCTGCCTGTGAGACTGGAGCTGTTCTATCAGGCTAGGGCTTCTCCAGCAACCCATGTGATATTGGCCAATGAGAAGACACACATGCACACAGTGACTGACAACATCTCATCCTCTACTATAGCTGGATTGGTAAGGAGCATGAAGACAGTGAGTGGGGGCATTTTTTCCCATTCCCCTTAGCAGACACAAACTTGTGTTTCCTGCTTTCTAGTCCCCAGGACCACTTATGTGGTGAGTCACTGGGGGCCACTGGTATCAGTGCGTGGTTGGGGCTTCCACATTGCCTATCTTGGTCCTTCCCTTTCCCAGCTTTGCAAAATACTCCTTCTGTCCCTCAGTGGGTCTTGAACCAGGGAAGTCCCACCCATTCACTGACCTCCAGTGAAAACCTCCTCCCCAAGAGTGTATCATGATCAAAACAGTGTTTGTGAGCAGTGTGTGGTATCAAGGGAATCTAACTTTTGTGTGCAGGGATACCTATATCTGTCTCCCAATCCCGCACAAACTGAATGTGCTCACATGGCAAAAGTCATTATGCCTGACAGGAAAGCATGAGGAGGGCATCTTCCTGTCAGCTTGTGCAAAATGTCTCCTCTCATGTTAGCAGCATTTCTGCAACACTGATGCTCTGGCTGCATTTAGAGCATGGGTCCTCAAACCATGGCCCGGGGACCAGATCCGGCCCGCCATGCCCATTTGAATCCGCCGCGCACCCACGCGGTGCAGGGAGGCAGCTGTTTGCTCGCTTGGAGAAAACGATCTCCAAGTGAGCAAGCCACTGCCTCGTGCGCCCGTTTTGCAGCACACGCCCGCCCACACCCGCGCCTCGCCTCCCCTCGCCAGGTGCGCATGCCTGCCCTTGCCTTGCCTCACGCCCCGCCCCCACCTTGGTGCATCTGCACACCCCCACCGCCAGCCCACGCATACCGCCAACTTCAACTTTCCGGCCCACGCCCAGCACCAGCAGCTTTCAACTCGCCCCCTGGTGGAAAAGTTTGAGGACCCCTGATTTAGAGGGTACTAATGGTTTGGCAGTTATTGCGCTATCCTGTGCTTTTCAAAGTGGTGTATTTTCCCCCTCCTGTTCTGGATTGGGCAAGTAGAGGGAATGCACTGGCATAGTGGTAGCATATCTCTTCTCTTGCCATACTAGGGAAGAGGGTTGCAGAACCTCAAGCCAGACGGCCAAGTCCAGCCCTCCACGATTTCCAAAAGACCACACCCTCTTCCCCCACCACTTCCTAAGGCTTAGTTGTTGGCAAGAAGTGCTTAAACTAAAATATACTTTTGCCTTTGGCCCAGTCACTACTGAAATGCCACTCCCCCCAAAAAGCTTGTCCAAAATTATTTTCTTAGGTCTGAAGAAGTTCTGCTACCCTGAGATATGGGATTGCTCATTCTATGTGTAATATAACTAAGATTGTCAAGTTGATTAACATTATTTAATAAGTCCAATGTTTGATTAAAAAGTTGGCTCCAGGTAACCGGCTCCCACATTTTCAAGTTAATTCTTTCTATAGTAAATAGGATAGTAATTCTTTCTACAGTAGACTGGTGGGTCCCATCTTTGAAGAGGCATTGCTTTTTATTCCCCAAGGAGGGAATGTGGCTACTTAGATGATGCCTGTTATGATGCAAGCATTCATCATTTGAAAAAGAAATAATGCTTTCCTCCCCTTAGTAATTATTGTTTTCCTCAAGTAAAAACTGTAGGGATTCAGCCCACTCATCTGAAAATACAGCCTTCACAGGTTGTTGAACTGGATTCTGATTTGGAAGAGGAGGAGGGGCTAGAATCCACAGTTGACTTGCCAAGGCAAGCAGACCCAGAGATAGTCCAGGCAGTCAGTGAGAATCAAACAGTTTCAAATTCTCTGGAGAAGTTTAGTGAGCCTGGTATGAGAAGAGACAAACCCAATTTTTATTTAATTTCTATACCACCCAACAGCCACAGCTCTCTGGGCAGTTCACAACAGCACATTAAAATATCATCACTTGGTATGAGGTTGAGAGAGGGCCAACTGAATAATGTCAGATGTTCCATGCAACTGGCCCTTAAGCAGTGGGATCCACTCTGGAAATGTGATTGGCCCTTTTCAGTTTGGAACCAGGGAAAAGTATTTGGTCTGGAATCAACTTATCATTAAGCCACATTTCCCTAATGGTCAATATTCTTCTTTCTTTGGTTCTTTGACTTCTGCAATTCTCTTCTTTGTTCAATAAACCAGCCTTGCTGGTCAGCTTTAACAGAATAAAGCCTTTTAAGTAAGGTTAGCTTTGTCCTGGTCTGCTTGAAAAGTGGGGGAGAAGATCAGCTTCCACACCAACTTATGGAGATTAAACAGAGCAATTAATTGATTAACAGTTATGATTGATCAACTGAGAATTATTTAGTCAAGTGGGGGTCAGTCCTGTATATAACCTTCTACATATAACTAATAATAGTGAACAAAAATAAAAAAATGTCATGAGAGAATCTAGAATCATCTCGAAATAGAACACTGGACTGAACACAGCCTTTGTCAGTCACACTCCAACCAAAAAATGGAAAAAGAGAACTAGTGCAAAGAAACACAGAAAAATATCACATTTTGCTCCACTTTTCTTTTGGAATTAGAACCAATGGAAATCTGTTATAAAGTCCAACATTAGTTCCCTTACTTCTCTCTCAAACGCTGTAGCTCCACTTTCAGGTCCTCATCTTCAATTTCAGATTCATCATCACTGCTCATAGGAGAAGATGGAGAGTAAAAGAGGGAACTGCGCCTCTTTGTGTGGGTTCCACTCTTCTCCTCCTGCAACTGCTGGCTTCGCTCCCAGCCTTCCAGGCTGCTGCCCATGGGGGCAGAAAGTTCACTGTCAGAACTAGGCTGCTTTCGCACAAAAGCACCTTTGGACCATGGGTCTGAGCCAGACTGCATGCTGCTAGCAGTGGCAGAGGTGTCCTCCATTTCCCGCTGCTCAGGAGTGGTGGAGGATGCATCTGTTTCACCCACGGTATTGGCCAACGTAACAATCTCTCCTTGCCTGGAAACCCCTTCTTCTGCCCCAGGTTCCAAGGAAGAAGGTATCTCACGAGGCTCACTTTCTGAACCACCTGAAGCCAGCTGTTGTGGCACCATGATGACCTGAGGCATGCACAGAGACAGACACAGAAGGGCAAACATATGAATTCAGTTATCTTCACTTTCTCAGAATTAGAATAGGATAAACAAAAGGGCAAGATACTACTGCAACTCTAGACTGCAGCCCTGAATTTCATCAGATGCACTTACAGTACTTCCAGACAAGGCTTTTACTGTACACTTGTTTTGCCTCATTTACAGACATTTATGGGAGATTCCAGATGACCTTGTTTTCCATTTGTAATCCTCTAATCTCACGGTGAGCTAGTGTAGTATAGTGATTAGAGTGTTAGACTGGGAGATCCGGGTTCTAGTCCCCACATAGCCATGACTCTCACTGGATGATTTGGGGTCAATCAAAGACTCTCAACCTAGCCTGCTGCACAGGGTTGTTGGAGTGGAGAACTATGTAAACCACCTTAGGTTCCCCAAAAGAGGGGAAAAGGCAGGATATAAATGCAGAGTAATTATAATACTTTCATCCTACCACTTTTCCCATCTTTTTTCTTTCCAAAGAAAATCAGTGCAGGATAGAAAGATGGAATAGCTGTCTGGTGTATTGTAATCAGTACCACTAAGAGCTGTCTGTCTGGAAGCATCCTTAAACCTTTATACCTATCAGATTGCAGATTTACAAGGGAAGAGGATTGAAAAGGGGCTACAAGGAGCCAGTATTCCTTTCTGTTTAATTTAATTTGATTTTGTAATACCATTTGTCTCCAAAAGGCTCAAGATTGGCAACTGTACATTTAGAACGATATACTCTCAACTAGATAAAATATTATATATTTAAATATACTCTACGTTAAAACATACTACTCAACCAAAGCTTGCACAAATAAAAAGGCTTTACGTACATCAATCTAAGTAGCTATTAAATGCACACAAAGCTTCCCTGGCCTAAACAGGAGAACAAATACTTACCTTCCATTCAAAAAATGGGAAAACAATGTAACAGGCCATACCAGCACAGGCTTAGACTGCAGTGACATAAACTCCAGTTGAGCGTATGGATAAAAAAGCTGCACAAAACAAAAAAAGCCTTCCCCCAAATTTATCAAAAGGATCTAGGCAATATTTATGGAAATAGGTCTTCAAAGTGAAAATATGAAAGAGAGAAGAAAAAAAGTCAACAGGAAGGTCTATAGGTACTTTTAAAAATTCCTTTGAATTATCAGGCATCAATATGCCTCATGCAGGCCTGCCAGGAGACACTCTCAACTGCAATAAAACTATCCACAGCCGTGCAATGAGCAGACAGAACAAAACAAAGTGCTTCTGTAAAGACTGCGATGGTAAGAGGGAGAAGAAAAAAGCAAACGGTGAAATGGGGCCCGGGGGGGGGGGGGACAACACAAAGTATTGCATTTTAAAGCATAGAGAGCCTTCATGATACAGATCTGCATACTGCTTAAGACACACTGTATGACTGGGAAATATTACTGCATCAAACAGATAAGAGATTGCACAGACAATTGCTACAGAAAAAAGGAGCAATGGATACTGCCCTCCCCTCTTTTGAGACAGTTTGGAATAAACAGAAGTCAAGCTACCACAATTACAATCAACATCCTGAAAAACAATCAACATTCTCAAAAGCAAGCAAATATTTTCATGAATTCCAACAAAAACATCCAGTCTAAAACTCCAAACCCAAAATTAAAAGACATTATTCAGGGAATCCTTTTAGCAATCTGCCACAGAGCAGAGCAAAGTGAAGCCTCTTCACAACTGCAAACCTGAGAAATCTGGGTATTTGAATACACACGTGAGTGGCTGCTTGAGGCCCCCATCTTTTTCCCAACTTGTTCCTCCCTCCCCCCACTGTTCAGCTGTTGCGTACTCATTGGCACCCTCTCAGTTTTTCCCAGTACTAATCAGTTGGGAAGTGAGAAGGGAGAGGCACAAACCAGAATCAGTGCAATCCTATGGTGTAGCTGCCACTTTCCTAGTGTGTTTGGGGGTGGGGGTGAAGGAAAGGAGTGTACTACAATTGGTATGTCAGAATTTGTAGGTTTGTGGGTGCTTGCATGCATCAGTGTGTGAGTGTGCATGCATGAGAGAGAGAGAGCGCGCACCAAAGCTCTGCCCATTACCTGTTAACATATGGCCCCTTGGTCTACTACCACGAGGCTCTTAAAAGCAAAATAGTTGCCCATCCTTATTCTAGCATATGGACTATTGGAATGGAGAATATTTTAGATTCCAGACATAGCTTCAAATAAATTAATATCCACAGCTGCCAGAATAATATATACGTTGATGTCAACAGTACTAAATCATTTCACAACAACTTCAACAAAAAAAATGATCCAAAGCCTAACTCCACTCAAAACAACATATAAAGATCTGTTTTTCTCCACTGTGTCACCACATCTTTCTGGTACAGCAATTCAATTGATGAATATGTAGAATGCAAGGGGAAAAAACACATACACACCTATCTATATAACTGACTTGAAAATAAAAAGTTACCTAGTGTGGAACCTTCAACTGCTATTAAAAAAAAAAACCTGAAGAGTGGGGAAAATGTAGAGACCTCATGAAGACATAGCTGTATTCACAGAGATACACAGAATAAGCCCAATGTAGTCAAGCACAAAACAGTTACCCTGAGATTATGTTCCACATTACATTTGCACAATATGAAAATGAATTTGTGACAATAACTGCAATTTTTAGGAATAACTGGATTCTATGTTCTAAGAAAGATACAAGTACTGCCAAGCTCATCCTTGGCAGGACCACTCTCTCTTTTGGATATAGTATAGGATATAGTCTTTCTTTTTATCTTCAGTTTTAGGGAAAGGAAAGGAAAGGAAAGGACGGAACATTTCTGCATTCAGGATGCAAAACTGCTCTCATAGATTAACAACTGTGTAACATGCTAGTGATTTGGTCATACTATCTTCACCTAGAACTGCTTCAGCCTTGATCAAATTCTACACAGAATTTGATGTGTAGATAGATGTGTAGATAGATGTGTAGTTCATGCAGATATTTACAAGAACTGCATATTCCAAACATCAATTGTGCCCTGTCAATGTACTGTATTGGCTGGTTCTAGTTTCAAAGGTCTAGCACATCTTGGCCATCACAGTGCCCTCTGGATGTCTTGAACTTCAACTCCCATCAATCCCAATGAACATGGGCAATGGCCAACAAATTCTCAGCCAGCAATAGCCAAAAAAATCCCAGGCAGCAATGGGCAATGCTTCCATCATTACCAAACAGTGTGGCCAAAAATGGACCATGTTTTAAAGCACAGGAAGCTACATGAAACAATCATGTGTATCACTCCCCATGAAAGATACACTGTGTGAATGTAAAATGCTACTGCATCAAACAGAAAAGAGATTGCACAGGGAATTACTGCAGAAACAAGGAACAATGGTTATTACCCACACTCTTTTGTAGAAACCTGAAATAAATGGTCATACAGGCTGGAAGAATGGAAGTTACAGTCTAACACATCTAGAAAATCCCACGTTAGATAAGGCTAATCTCAGAGTTACCTTTCATTTGTTAATGGTACTGTCTCAGGACCCTACTGAGAAAACCTAGGGCCCTAATTTGTACATAGGGCAGTGATAGCCATAGCGGATTAGAATGATTCCTTTTCCTATCAAGATCAGCACTTGATATATTGGTCTACTGTCACAAATGCACTCTCAGAATGCTGTCTACATAGGTAGTGTTCTCTTCCAAATGCAGTAAGTACAGATCTCATACATCTTGGAATACAATCCATCAGCTGGCATCAAAAGAACTGGCTTATTAGTTCAAGTATAATTTCGTTCTAAATTCATTTGTAACTTTTGCATTGATGTTGATTGATATTGCTCAGTTAGGGGACCACAGTTCAGTGATAGAGTGTATGTTTTACATGTAGAAGGTCTCAAGTTCAACCTCTGGCACCTCCAGTTAGAAGAATCAAGTATACCAGTACAAGCAGAAGACAATACAGGATTAGATGGATATACTCTTTGACCTGTATAGGGCTTAGAGTGTTGCACTGGGGCTTGGGAGGCCCAGGTTTTAGACCCACTGGGCCATTAAACTTACTGGGTACCTCTGGGATTCTCAACCTAACCTTCCACACAGAATTGCTGGGAGGATAAAATGGAGAGGACTATGTAAGCCAACTGAGGCTCATTGCAAGAGGAAAAAAGTGGGATACAAATGTAATTAATAAATGAATAATAAGATAAATAATATAATGCTTCGTGAAGGTCAATGGTTTATGCTGACTTATTAAAGGCTTTGATGTGACACTTCTAAGCCTTTTCTCATTCAAGAGTAGGGATTAGTAGGCAGAAAAGAGTGATGTGGGGCATAAAATTTTCACAAATACTCTGATATGAATTTCCTCATAAAATATTAAATGTATTTGAATACTGCATTTAAACTATGTTGTATGGTTAATTAAAATTCCCCCAATGTAAATATTCCAGCTCAAATATTTTGCAGCTATTGAGAAAAATTTTGATATATTTAGATAACACATAAAATCACCACTGATTACATTTTAGTTCTGTTTCCTAAAATTGAGCTATTCTGTGTGCTTACTGGAAAAGAATGGGTGTTAAGGGAGTAAAAATAAAACAAACAAGCATGCTAAATGAGATAATATTATTCAGATTATATTTTGTTTGGAAAACCCACATCAGCAGTGGAAACAAGAGACAAAGCACGATATCATTCACATACTGGTGACACTACAGCCCAATGGTTTCATGAAGATGCTAAGTAGCATAGACAATCCCATGTGGTATCCCAAAGCCCATGGGAAGAGCAGAAATCTCCCAGCACCAACCAGGAAATTGCAGCCATCACTATGTCCGCCAAACACAATTGATCCAGAAGGATACCATGGCTGAAGGTAATGAAAGCCACTGAGAGGTCCAGAACAATTAATAGTGTCATACTCCCCCATCCAATTCCTGATGCAAATCATCCATTAAGGAGACCACAGCAGTTCAAAACCAGGCCTGAATCTGGATTAGAACAGATCCAAACTAAAGTACCATCCAAGGCTACCTCAATTTGAGAGGCTACTACCAACTCCAGAATCTTGATTAGAAATGGAAGGTTAGATACAGTACAACAGTTATCACAGGCCAAATCACTGTCTTCTTAACAGCAGTTGGCAATATTCACTACCTCAAGGAAGCATTTGTTAGTTTTGATATAGAAACACTAGCTTTGCTCTGCCAGACTTTAAAAGCCAAGATGGTCAAAGATCTACAATACAGATGGTATCTTATTTCCTAAATAAGGTACACAGTTCTCCAACAATCTTGTCTATATCCTCAGTTTACACAAGCTGAATAGGAGCCATAACAAAAGGATCAGACAAAGTCCTAGCTGCATTCATCTTCAATTCTATTAAAAATGTAGCATTCAAATCAGCATGGAAACAAGCAAGATCTCTTTGTTGCCACATTTACTACAATGCAGGCCTAATAATGAGCTTTCCTCTGTGTTTGATCATATTTGCTATGAGTTTACTTTCTTTCTTAGATTTATATACCGCCAACTGCTTTCAAAGTGGTTAACAATCACAAAACCAAACAACAACAAAAATATTGCAATGTTAAACACTAAAACAAATGAAGATTTTTAAAACACTGAGGAGCCAGCAGTAATAAAACAACAGGTTAAAGATTAAATGCCTGCTGAAGAGGAATGTCTTAACCTGGTGTCTAAATCTATCCAGTGAAGACGACAGGTGGATCTCTCTGGAAAGAGGATTCTAGAGATGGGAGCCCACTAAAAAGAAAGCTTCTTTTCCTGGTTGATATCTGTCACACCATTGTGGGTAACAGCACCCAGCAAAGACCTCCCTCCCCAAGAGTATCTTCACAGGTAGCAGAGCATATGAAGTAAAATAATCCTTCTAGCAAACTGGTCCAAAGCTACTTAGGGCTTTAAAGATCAGCACTAACACTTAGAATGAGCCCAGAAGCTGACTAGCAACCAATGTTGTTGACACAAGACTGGAGTGATATGTTCAGAATGGCCAGTCCCAATCACTACTCTATTCTGCACTAACTGAAGTTTCTGGATCATGCTCAAAGGTTGCTCAATGCATTACAATAGTCCATGTGTGAGGATACCAGTACATAGATAACTGTAGCCGGGTTCTCTACTACTTGGACTTCAATTGTTGATTCAATTAATTCAAGCCTTTTAGCTTGTCAAAATATCATGGATCTGACCCAACTCTACCATTTGACCAAGGATTTGGGGGCGTGATCATATACTGGCAGGAATACTGGCTAAAACTTCAGGTACGTTCCCCAGAGAGAACAAAAAACAAAGTGGATTCATCAATCTCCAAGACCAAATCATACAAAACACTTCCTGACCATTGCAGTCAGTCAAGTTGATCAGGTAATGATTTCTTGATAACAGGATTAGCACTCACTCCTGCACTCACAAATCATGTCCCCCTATTCTATTACAAGGACACCAAAAACAAGGTGTGTCCTGCCACGTGCATTGGGCATGATATAATTTGAGTCAGGCCTATGGTTGTCATGGAAACAACAAGATTCCAGGCTGCTCTAGACAAGGCAAGCTCAATGTGAATGTTAAAGCCCTAAACCTTGACAAAAATGTCTCACCTCTGAGACCACCTCCATCAGCTAGTAAAGGGAGACTGTTGGGCAGTGTGAAACTGTGACAGAGATATGTTTCACATACAAGCACTTCCGAAAAACCTGGCAAGAATTGAAATAATAATTTTCAAAACCATAAACAAAGCCACATACAAACAGCAACTGACCATATGCTAAACTAATCTCATCTGTGCCTCATAACAGATCAGATAACTTCTGACCAATTATAAAAGTCATACTGGAGAATATTTTAGTGCAACGACCTATTGAAATAATACAACCCCCCACTAACACTGTGACCTAAAACTTCAGGTTAAATTATATCCTTTTTCTGAGTGAAAGATGATGCTCTATGCCATTTAGGGGCAAACTCCAACTGAATATCCAAAGCTGCACATTTGCAAACAACTGCTCCAACTACAAAAAAATGCCAGCAAAAACTGATCCAAGATGTATGTCTGTTATTTAACATATCAAAAGAGATGTTGGTTCTGCTATCTCCTCAAACTTTGTTCAGCATGACAAATAAGGGATAGATGGAGTTGTAGCAGACATATCCATCTTTAGAAAAATGGGAGGAAAGGAAGGTGGCTAGCAGGGATAGTTTTTGAGAGGAATAGAGAGGGTAGGGCCTGGAGGGTTGACAATAGTCAAAAAGAGCACATTGTGATTTGAAATAATTGACCATGGCTGCAGGCAGCTAGTAGTGGCTGGATCTCTGCTGCTGCCTCATGGCTATGTAACCCCCTCTTCTCATGGAAATTACAGAAGCCCACACATCTTCTAGAAATAATCAAAAACTTCCAAGCATGAGTTATGTATTCACTAACTAACTGGAATAGTAAGCATAAGTATTTTAGCTTACAATTCCATGACAACTTGATTAAGGGACACTTTGACTAGGAGAGCATGGTATGCCTTTTGAACAAAGGGGGGAAAACAAACAGATAAAGTAATAAACACATGCCTTATGAAATGACATATCTGAGTTTACTTGAATTAACTTCTTAAATTCTACCCACCTGAAAACGGCCTCGTTGGAATGATCCAGCCACAGATAAAGAATGACTAGTTGCTTTATTCTCCATTGTTGCTTGTTCAGAAAGAGAAATCCAATCAGGTGCCACATCACCAGTCATCTCTTCTGTTGCAAGTTTTAAGGAAAGGAACACAAAGAAATAGCACACTGTCAGGTAAAGCTGGTACCATGAGAATACTGACAAGCAACACTGCATTATAAAATACAATTCTAGTATACATGTAGGCTTTTAATTTTATATTTTGTATCCCAAGATCTACACTTCTATGTGGAATGAAAAAACTGGTTAATCAAACTGGAAAACAAAGTGGTGATGCATGAAATGTTACATAGGTGAGTAAGGCAAGACAAAGGTATATATGGAGTAGTGTCAGGAATGCTTCAAAAAAAGGAGGAGGAGGAGGAGGAGGAGAGAAAAGAAACATACATAAAGAAATCAAAGCAGATGTTACCTAGTCTAGATCCCTGACTGTAAGCACACTACCTTGCCGGACTTTTGATCTCTTGAAAAAGCTGGTCTGCCGTAGCCTGTATGCCCAGCTTTTTAATTTGCGAGTCCAGGATTTCTTGCTAATAGGGTTTTTGAGACTAGGGCAAGTAAAGCTTAGGCCAAAATATCCACCTCCTGCATGCAGGTGCACAGCTCCACCACTTGATGCTGAAGCAGGACAGGCCGCAGGGGTCTCAGGAAATGAAGCCTCCGGGGTCATCTCCTGAACAAAACAAGGGGGTGAGAAAACAGGCAGAGAAGAAGTGAAATTCAAATAAGAAGGCTGGTGGTGTTACATATAAACCCAGACCCTATATATTCCCCCTATTTAATATTACATGTACAAATATACAAATTCAACTAAGTGTCTTTTCTTGAAAATATCCCTTTGACGAGTTAAAATAATCAAGAACATGTAAAGAGATGATCTATAATTGTTCTACTTTTCCCTGCTAAAGATGTTTCCAATTATTAATTTACTTGAGCCCTGATAATGTTCAGGTTGTCTATATCAATTCAGACAACCTATTTTAGAAAGGTTGTCATCTGCTTCCTGCTCTGTGCAACTCCCAACACAATCAGATACCAGCATTTGGTCCACAAACACATTCTAGTAAACAGTGAGCAGCAAAACATGAAATGCTGGAATAACCTGTCTGGAGAAGATGCTTATCTCTTAACTTGCCAGCATCCATTAGGCTGGCAAGTGCATTTGTACGGCCAATCAACATAATTCTGTATTCCTCCAGTTGCAGGACAGATCATTTTCAACCCCAGCTAACCTCCCTGTTTCTACTCACATGCATACAGAGATCACTAGGAGCAGAGGCGATAGCACTGGGCTCCCTCCTCAGCACTGGTAAACTCTCAGGATGACTTGCAGATGGGATGAGCAGAGCCTGGGGATCAGAAAGCTTGGTGGGACTTTCCTGAGTCTCTCCAGAGGCATGAATGTCCGGTGCGTCAGTTACTGGGCAAGGGAGAGTATCTTCAGCAGATGAAGAGAACGGTGACTCCACTGCACTTTGTGTGTCCTTCTGGCTTTCAGGGGAAGTACCTGACAAGCTGTGTTCCTGGTACAGAAGCGTCCGCAACTTCTCATCCAGAGTTTTGATGTTGTTATCAACAAAATCCATCTTTGGGGGACCTTCACTATCTGATTCCAGAGCAGATGGAAAGGGAGCACTTTCCAGGCCTGAGCCCTGAACCAAAGCATTGGCCTGTTCAGCATTCATCAAGTTATCTGCCTCTTCTGTGGGCAAGACGTGACAGGTGTTTGGTCTGGACATGGTAGCTTCAGCAGGCAAATTCAGCTCATTAATGCCAGACATTGGATGGGGCGTATGTGAAGAAAGAAGAGTTCCATCAGGCTGAGCCTCTGATTCCAAAGACTCCAGCCAAGAAGAAGAATCATAAGCACTAGTATTACTGTCGTCAGCAATAATGGCAGACAGCACCTTATCCATGCTGCCTTCCACTTGGTGAAGAACAGCTGACTGGTCTGTTTCTGATGTTTGGGGTTCAGACAATGTACTGTCACTTAATAGCTCATTTGAGCTAGAAGACTGGGTAGGCCTGTGCTGATTGCTAAGATTTTCCACAGTCGGGGAACATTCTTGGGGGTTATCTTCTTTGGCACTTTCCTTTAGATGATCTGTAAACCCAAGACATCAACCAGTGAGGCTCACAATAAGATTGCAGGAAAAACTATCCCACAGTATAGCCCTTTGAAGGCTTGGATTTGTGCTAATTGATGTCATCACCCATTTCAAAACTTGTAATTCCAGAAATGGGGCAGTTCTCAAAATGAATATATAACAGAGGAGAGGGTTATTTGAAATCTGTGACTCTGCCTAGGGTCACTGGCATTTCCTGTTCCTCCTTCTCACCACCAATATTGTCTGGGCCACAACAAGAAGCAGGTTGAATAAGCGGGTTTCAACTGTGCAGAGGAATAACTTCAAAGGCTTCTGGTCAGTGATTCCCTAGCACATATCTGATCATGCCTACCCTTGACACTGGTCCTCTGTCACCAAACAAACAAACACAGAGAAATACATGGGTACCATGTGATGATAAATTATTTTTACTTTATTAATTTAAAAATTTTCTATAACACTTTTAAGTTGAACCTTAAAAAGTAGTTATCAATAAATGGCTTGTTTAAATGAAAACAGTCATCAATTAAAGTACAACAAAACTATGAAAATCAGAAAGGGTTACTCGGATGGGTCTGGTGGACTGGAATTATCAATCAAGGGTAAATATGTATTTCTAACCCTATGCAGATAAAAAGGTCACCTAGTGGCATTAAATGTGATTTTTAATTAATAATAATTTTTTAAAACACAAGCACATCCTTGTTAACCATCACCACATGCCTGACCACTACTTCTTTCCACACATTGTTTCTTATCCTTGAATGAAAATGCTCTGATTCCTGCTTAGAAATAGCACACAGTTGACAGAAGAACAGACCAAAACCTTCTCGTTATGCTGCGCTGTGCTGTGCTTGAAGGGAATTGGCTCTGTTAATATTTACCCTGGAAGGGGTGGAGTTGAATTTGATGAGTGCAAGGCTGACTTGCAGGCAGTTACCAAAAATGAACTTACATGGATCAAGGTGTACTGCTTTGAAGCCAATGTTTACACAAAAACTGAAAACAAGGACAACAGAAGGAAATGGAAATGCTAAGCTAATTCTGTCACCAGATTTATTGTAAATGAATGAAGCTGGGTAGTCATTACACTGGCCTTCCCCAACCTGGTAAAATCCAAAAATGTTGGGCCAGCTGGCTGGGGGATGCTGGGAGTTGCAGGCCAGCACATCTGGAATGCACCAGATTGGGAAAGGATGCATTATGTCATTCACTGTCTTCTCCTCACTGCCAGTGTTGAGCCCATCTGGCACAAACTGAAAATTTATTTTATTTATTTCATTTTGATTTGATTTTTACTAGAATACAACAGCACAAATCCATAATGAATTTTTGTGCATTTTGGCTGTTGATAATGTGACAATATGCATCTCACATTCCCCTGCAGTATTCTTAAAGTGACGTTTTAGAAATTTAGTAGAAAAGTAAAACTGCTAGAATACATTGAAGAATAGAAACCAACCTAGCAATGTTTGAGCAATAGCCTTTGGCACGGAGTATGCCAGTCAAACATTAACTGGGAGTGGCTATCCTAAAGAATTAAGAATGGACTCATGCCTTCTTGATATTAAGGAATTAAAAATGCAATTTTCCATTCCTAAAACCTGAGCTACTCTAACTCAAGACAAGGAGCCTCATCTGGCTACAGCTCCAAAACTGTCTGACTAATACACCACCATGGAGACAAATCAGAAATACCTCTTAACCCATCCCATATTCACCTGTTATCTGACATGCTGGGGCAGCTGTAGTTGATTGTAGAAGAGTGTAAGGTGCCTGGGATTCTCTGTTCCTTATTGTTTGATTGATGCAAAATCTCCAGCGGCCAACAGGGGATGACTGGGGAGCAGAGTCACCTGGAGGAAAGAGAGATTAAAAAGAAGTCATAAGGGACAATCACTCCTCTAACCATTTCTGAAGTTAGCAAAGAGAGAGAGAGAGAGGGGGAGAGAGAGAGAGAGAGAGAGAGAACGAACAACTCAAAGATTTACATAAACACAAAATGGCATTGTAACAGGAACCTTAGAAGCAACATTGTTCACCAACAAGAATCTTGGTGCTGACCTTGAGATCCTAGGACTATAATCCAAACACACTTAGTAAGGAATAAGCCTGACTTAATACAGTGGGAAATATTCCATGTAAGCATGTATAAGACTGTACTACTTGACTTTTACCTTTAACTTTAACTCTGTCACTAAGCAACTACATGAAGAACAGACTAAATTACTTTTCACTCCTTGTATATTTAAATGCAGGGTTTCAAAACAGGTATAGTCAACTCTAAGTGATTAAGGGAAGGGGAAATCCTTCCTGCCTTTTTCCATATCTTGGTTGCTGGCTATTTACTCTCTTCTCCAACCCTAAACAGTGCAGTTTGGGTGGTTAATGTGCCCACCTCCAATACATATCATGTTGTTTCACAGAGCTTGAAAATATTTACTTCCTTTAAAATAAATGCCCCATTTGCTCCTTTCTTCCAAAGATACCCTACCATCATCCCATGTACACAGAGGCACATGACACATATGTGCCATTGATCCATGTGGCTCTACTTTCTTCATTTTTCTTGGATTGGTGTATGTGAACGAACGAACGAACGAACGAAGAAAAAGCTGCATGCTGAATGAATGCTGGCAGAGAAGCCATTCCACAACACTTTTCTCAGTTCAGAAAGACTCAGTCAAGACTGTAGGCTTCTCAAGCTGTGTCTTCACAATGTTTACCACAGGGCTATATAGGCATCTATCTGGTGGGGTCAGCACTGTACCATTATGCACCTGTCCCATAGTTGTCTTCACTGAAGTCAGGATTGCACTTGTGCTGGTACTCAAGGTGCAGACGGTCCTGTGCCACAATTGTTCCTGCTTGAACAGGAACAGTCTTTTGCAGAACTATTCCTCTCATTTCAGTGGAAACAGCCAAACAGCAATGCTAAAGTACCCAAAAGTAGCCAATGACTTTGGTTTCCAGGGAAGAAACCATAATCATCCAGTAAAGAAAAAGTAAAGTTTAAAAAGTCATCCATAAAATAATAGGGCCATTACCCAAATTCAATGATTTCCTTTTAATTTGGTGTTTCCTTCACACTCAAGAGAGGATTCTCTACTGTGTACCTGCATGGTATCATAAACCTTTGTTTTATCATACAGAATCCATTCTGCTTATACAACAATAGAGAAATCTATTTTATTAGACATTTAATACAATAACAAACATACAATGTATTACTAAGGGCAATTACTGACACCAAACAAAAAACCAGCAACCTTCTGCCATTGGCAACATGCAGAATAGTTGCAGCTATTTTTTTGTAATGCCTACCTCTTCTAGTACAAAAAGAACATGATCCTATGCATGCTGGTTAGGCATGCCGGGAATTTTTTGTCTAATCATGCATAGGGCAATGTGCTCACCAGCATATGAATACAATATACTTGACCACTGGATAGTCAACCATGGCCAGCAGGAATGGGATCCAAATAAATATTTCAGACTCATCCAAGGTTTAAGCAAGTTTAGTGAAATTTTTGACTTTTTACCTTTGAGCAGATGGCCACAGTGTTATATCACAAGCTGTATTTGGAAGTTCCATCAGTTTCATAATTGCTCTGATATGTAATAAGGAAGACCACTAAGTAAAAAAAAATGTTTTGCTACAATGAGGAAGATTCTGAAAAATATCCAAACACCCCGTAGGGGCACAGGACTACTTATGAGAGATCTCTGCATCGTGGATGGGTTCTTAAGCATTCCAGCCCTCCAGAAACACAAAGACACATGTATTGGAGCTAGTGGAAATCACAAATCTATAGTAAATACTCAGTTTGAGAAAAATCAGAAAACTGTTATTGTCCTGTTGATCCAAAATCAAAAATCAGAGGAATAAAGATTGCTTAATACTAACAAATTGAAGACTAGTAAGTTAAACTATTGACCCAGACCAACAAGTTTGAAAAAAATAGTCCATCATCCATCATGACTGATTTTGTACCACCTTAAGGAATACAGTTGACAGCTCACATCCCTATTTCATTTTCCATTAAGAGGAACTCCATACTCAACCCACTGCTTCAGTACTTGCATGGAAACTCAACCACTTAAATACATATGCACCATTTCCCAATGGGCAACACAACATATTAATTTCGCAGATTAAGCTCGGATAGCATAATTAAGAAGAAAAGTTTAAACTGAATGGATACTCAATTATTTGAAACCACACCACAAACTACACATAGTGAAAGCTGGCTTGGAATTTACCTCCTTCAGTATAAATCTGGGAATCACTAACACCCAAACTAAAAGAATTCCAATTCTAGTTGCTTTCTTCTTTGTTCATTTCACAACTACATCACACCAACCCTAGAGCTAATATCAACTTGGCAATGGTATTATGGTTAATGTCAGCCTAGGACATTCAGATCCTGAAGGCCCTTTCCCAAACTGACTCCAACAACCAGCAGCCCTAGTCAGGATGGCCAATAAACAAGGATAATGGGGGTTGGAAGTCCAAAACATCTGGAGGGTAGTAGGTTGAAGACTCTTCTGCTTTAGGGTTAGGGTCTTCCATTACAGTTATCAGAAACACTGCAGAGAGTCAACTATACATACTAAAAGCCCAAACAAAGGAAACTCTTCCAAGACTGAACTACCATGTAGGACAAAAGCCAGCACAACTGACAACAGAACCTGCTTTAGTTCTTGCTAAGAAGTCCACTATTTCAATTTCTTTCATGTTTAAGAGAGGTACTTTTGCTTTGAGTTTTGATTTTGGTTTTGGTCCTTCAGTGTTAAATGTTTTAAAATAGTTACTTACTGCCAGTTTGAGTAGATGCTGGATTTATCTGAACTTGTTCAGAAGATCCTGTCTGAATTAAAAATGAATAGATAAATATAAAAAGGGAATTTCCCAATAGAAGTATACACCTTCCCAGAAAACTGGCATTGCTAAACAACAGCACTTACCTGAGTGCTGGCTGGATCAGAAGTAGATTCTGTGCCAGAAGCTCTGTCTTCCACAGGAAGGCTGCAGATGATGTCTTGGGCCTGGTAAACAATGGCTCTCAGTTCATCAACAAATTTGTCTTTCTCATTTTCCAGCACAAAGTTATCTTCAACCTAGTCAGTAGGAAAAGAAAACAAATCCCAAAACAGAAGATAGTTTATTACATTTGTATATTTTTTCATACAACTGAAGGAGTACCAAAGCAATGTAGAAATCATAAATGCAAAAAAGAAAAAAGGGAACATCAAATAGTAACATATTTACTAAAATCATACAAATTTATAAAAGTACTTATCTAAAACAAGGTGGGCAACATGCACCCTCTCATGGCCTTTTGTGTGGGGATTCCTGGCTCCTGTCCCTGCATCCAAATCCGAACAATTTTTCTGGGAAAAAAGGAACCCAGGGAGGGGGCACCTTGTGCCAAACAGAACTAGGACAGCCTGCTAAACTAGTTTCATGGGCTGCTGGGAACATGATTCTGTTGAGACACAGAGATGGCTTCCTGTACATGCCTACCTTTCTGCAAGACAGAATTCACAACCCACCAAACTCCTGGCAGGCTGTCAGAAGGCCTACTCTTCTAGGATACAAGGCACAGACTCATTGCATGCCTTGTTTCCAAACAAAATTGCTGAGATTTGGGATGGTGCTCGGGAAGGGTGCAGTCTCCTGCAGGGTTCTGGGAGGGCTACAGTGGCCTCCAAGTCCTGGATGTCATCCACTCCGATAGAAAGAACAGAAAACCATCACCCATCCATGCATACTTCTATGGTTGTAGGCCACACTATTGCCTTTCAAACTGTGTATTTTTCCCCTGAGCTTACCTTATCAAATCAAACATTTTAAAAACATCATAGTCAAATTCATATACATCAGTTAAATATTATTCCCCAAGTACATCCACAATATATGAGTATTGTTCAAAAAACTTAATTATTACAAAAACAGAGAATTAAACCTTCTATCAATCCTGTTTGACAGCAGACACCACACAGCTGATGCTCTTCATTTCAGACCCCCACAAGTACACACCTCTGCATATGCACAAAACTGACTAAAACAGTAAGAACAACTTAACAAAATATTTATGTAACTGTGCACTAAAAGACACAAAAATGTTATGTACCAGTGACAGCCTCTCCACTATGCCACTTGGTTACTTTGGAGGGGCTGACACTGACTGTCAACCTCAGAGATCACAAAAAGTGATGTCCAAAAAGACAAGACAAGACAGAGAGAAGAAGGGAAGCCACAGTAAGTGAAAAAGCACTTGCAATTGCAGCAGGGAAAGGAGACCAAGTGGCTTTAGCTGCCAAGTTCCTTGGGATACTGCAAGGAGGTCTGAGAGGGAAGAAGTTGAGGGGATAATCCATAGTAGGCCTGATCAACTGTCAGGCATAGCATGGGTTGTTCTGTGAACCAGCAAGCCAACATTAGTTAGTTGCAGGATGGCTTAGTGTTATGTGCGATCCCACCTAATGATATTATATTACTATCCCAGTGTTACAAGGGGCTCCAGTCCAAAAGATGCATCAGAGCCCATTCACTGAGCCTGTTTAAACACTCCTTGTCGAATGAGTGCAGTAGTACATAATCCTGCATCATATCTATAAGGGGCACTTTACTTATATTGCAGCATTAATACCTATCAGAAACTATAATCCACATCCTCACGGGAGGTCACTGTTTCTTCTGTAGCATGTATCAGATAATGCAACCCTATACATATTTACTCAGAAGTATGATGTACCACCCTGATGTAGTGGGACTAACTTCTAAATAAATACATACCGGATCAGGCTGCAAGACTGCAGCCTAAAGAAGACAAGTGTACAATTCACAGTGTTTTCCTCCATTCAACTAAATCAATTTCAATCCCTGATTCATTTACCCATAATTTTTCCTCTGTAAGTTTTTCCTTTTAAGAGTTAAGATACCATTCTGAATTGTCATATCCAAGAAGAACAGATAGACCTACAGAAACCATTTCAAGCTTTCTGCAGGTTAACTCAAATGGTTAACTCAAATGTTCTCTATGCTTTAAAAATATATATCCTAAAGTACTTAAATGAAAAGCTTTCAAAGTGACAGCACCCAGAAGGATGAGTTTAGTCAAATTTTCACCCCCACTTTATAGTAATTCCAGTAGAAGTCTACAATCCTCTCCATTTTAGGACATTGCCCCAAAGCAATACAAACACAGTTCTCAAAATAATCTGTGCAAGACAAGGGTCATGTCAACTGCAAGGCAAAGGTTAGATCTCAGAGCTTCCATAACTTGAGAAAAGCTACAAGAAAGAGGTAGGGTAATTACACACTGTCCTTAGAATAAGAGTGCTTAAACAAGAAACCAGTATAACAGTGTGTCTACTGGGAAGCAGGGTCTCTGAAACTTGCCATGTAGTCAGCAATGTCTTCTGGAGCATCTCCATCAACATCAAATTTAAATGTAACCATCTTGTTGTTGTGAGTCTCAAGCTGGCACTCCACAGTGTTATCCCCAGATGTTGACACCTGGTTGAAGAAAGAGCAGATACTGTGCTACTAAGTAGGGACAGAACATGCCTCCTCAAACTCTTAGTAAATATGGAAGGCCTCTGTTTCATCAGTATTCCCCCAAGTGCATGAAGGGGCACCACTAGTTCAATAACAAAGCACCTATAATTGAACCACATTTACTTAAATCTCAAGCCTGTCAATTACCTTTTATTTTACAGACAAATATAATGGATAAATTATAGCCACCTAGGAAGGCAGTTATAGGTGGCCTATAAATATGCGTATAAATAATCTTATTCAAGTTATGACAGTTACTCGTAATTATAATTCACTTCTATGGCATTTTTCATCAGGAGAAATGTCAAAACTGTTCTTCTGGATTCAACTGCTTGAATACCATTCACTGGCTGTGTAAGGCTGCAGATCTAAAAATATAATTTTAGTTCTTCCTGTTCTGATTCCCAATTCCTTTTAAATGGTTTCAATAACCTCTGGATTCTATTCCAGATGAATGGATCCTAGCACCAATAAACATTACTCTTTCACTGTAAGTTATAAGCACAATTTTAACTGAATTTGCAAACTATGAAGAGTATTGTGCCCTGGGTCCACAACACAGTGGTCTTTTATAGTATGTTCATCCCATTATGTTCCATTCATATCCATGCAAGTGACACAGTTGTTGTGGAAGGAGAAAGTCAAATTCAACTGAATAGCCTTTTGAAGGTCAGCACATATTCACAATGACTTTGGCAGTGGCCAACATTTTATCATCCAGTTATTGCTTTTAACCAATCCTTTAGGTAGCATGGAAATTTTTATATATATAGACACACACTCACATACATCTCTGACCACTTAGATGAAGTACTGTAGGGCTATAATACTAGATTGCTTTTTTAATGATGTGAAAAACCCTTTCTGGAAAGCACCGTATAGTAGTGGATTAATGGCAGTGCTCAGAAAGTTTTTAAATATTCAAACACACACACACATCCCAGTGTGATAGCTATGTAGCAAGTGTTATTTCACTTATTTTAATGTTGTTTTAAAATATAGCTGGACACTAACTCTAGAAATGACTTAAGGTTTTTCCACATCAGGCATTTATTCTGCATTCCTCGTTCTCTAGTCATGGTTGTTTTACAGGTTCATAAAACAATGCCATGACTCTTTTGTTTCATTTCTGTGCTTAAGGAATCCTTCCAAGGGAGTTTTGCTTTTAGAGCAGGGAAGGTACAGTATTCAATTGCAAAAGCAACAAGATTTTTAAAAACTTGTGTATCTGTGCTGTTCTACTGTACCAGGGTGCCGCAGCAGAAAAAGATGAAAGTAAACACTCTGCATAATGCTTGGATCTCAAGTCTATGATGAAATCTGATTAACAGCTCTACACAAGACTACACAAGCTCTAAAAGAATGTTTATAAAATAACTGGATGATAGAATTATGTCCACTGCATCTGGGCTGAGCTGACCCAGCTGAAAAGATGTAATTGTAGCACCAAGGGTATATACAACTGTGAAGATTGCAATGCTTTTTATTCTTCCGGCAAGAGTTGGCCTTCTTTGGATCTAAGAAATCATAGAAAAGCATCAAGAAACATACAAGATGACATGGATTGGATTATTGCTATGTGCTGTGTGGATGCTCCCAAAAAGTGAGTTAACACATTATGACAATTCCACACTAAAAAAGTACGTGAAAAGAATCCTAGGTCTCATTCATATACTATATTGTTCTAAAAGAAACTGACTGAAGTTCAATGAACAAATTTAAACTAACTAGTCATGCAAATTAAACTATAAAATAATGTGTAAGTTGTGGCACTAGATGCTCAAACCAATGCATATGTATAATCATTAATTTATCCTGTATAATTAAGTACTGAACTGTTTTCTGTTCCATTTCCCCACAACACAATGCTCTCTGAATATGTGGGAGAATCCAAGTAGTTTATCTGCCAACTGAAGTACTCTGCAGAATGGGGATGACTGATTTTCAGTGATTCTCCCTCCCCCTGCAATCCCCCCTTTCACAACTTATTATGAAGCGTTGGAGACCTTCTGGAGCAGGTTTGTGGCATTGTGAGGCTCCAGAAGAGAGAATTATTGAAAACCATACCCCTCCCCATTTTGTTGATGGAAACTTAGTTGAATTGCACCCCTGTAGTGCATATATAGTTATATATATACCATATGAGCTATAATCTGTGAATAAAAACTGACTGAGCCCAAAGGTTACTTCTTAACATACCTTAAGCAGAGAAATAAACGCCTGTAGTTCAGCTTATAGAATTTATTCTTTGAAGTATTAATATATGTAAAAGTTATTGTGTGAGTAACAACAGGATTGTCAAACTAGTGCAAAGGCCCAGGACCTGGAAAGCATCCTTTAAGGTGAATTTTCTATTATCAATTAATTAATTAATTAAATTTGTATGCCGTTCAATTACTAACTTCTCTGGATGGTTAACAGCATAAATAAATTGATGACCCACTCTGGCTGCAATTAATAAAATTCAATATTGAAACTTATTAAAATATTGATTAAATAAAAAGGTCTTAACCTGGCACCGAAAAACATATAATGACGGCGCCAGGCGGACCTCTCTGGGGAGCGCATTCCATAGTCGGGGCGCCACTGCAGAGAAGGCCCTCCTCCGAGTACTCTGTCACTTAACATCTTTCAAAGAGGGTTCCCAAAGGAGGGCTTCTGTTGCCGATCTCAGGGGGCAGGAGGGTTAAAAGGCATTCCTTTAGGTATCCTGGTCCCAAGCCATTTAGGGTTTTATAGGTAATAACCAGCACCCTGAATTGAGCCCAGACTTCGATGGGAAGCCAATAAGATTATGAGAATAATGCCCAGTCCTCGACAGCATCCTGGCAGCTCTATTTTGAACCATCTGAAGTATCAGGACTGTCTTCAAGGACAGCCCCACGTAAAGTGCATTACAGAAATCCAACTGGGAAGTAACCAATGCATGTGTTACTGTTGCTAGGCAATCTTCCTCCAGGTAGGGACGCAGCTGATGGATTTGCTGAAGCTGAAGGAAAGCGCTCCTCGCCACCACTGTCACTTGGGCTTCCAAGGACAGCTCTGGGTCAAGGAGCACTCCCAAGCTGCGGACCCTGTCCTTTAGAGGGAGTGCAACCCCATTCAGGGCAAGGCCCAAGTCAGGAGCTCAAATCACGCACCAACAGAACCTCTGTCTTATCTGGACTGAGCTTCAGTTTATTGGCCCTCATCCAGCCCATTACCTCGGCCAGGCACCGGTTCAGCACAGCCACTGCCTCACCTGGATTGGTTGAAAAAGAGAGGTAGAGCTGGGTATCATCAGCATACTGATGACTCCACAGCCCAAACCTCCTGATGACCTCTCCCAGCGGTTTCATGTAGATATTAAATAGCAAGGGGG